AAGGTGCTGGGGGGCAGAGGGTGCTGGGGGCAGGGGGATGCTGGGGGGCAGGGGGGTGCTGGGGGCACCCACACCTGGCCACACCCGCTGACAGCGTCCCGTCCCCCCCACCCCCCCGCGCACCTGGCCATGCCCTGCACGCACCCAGGGTGCAGCCTGGTCCCCTCTCCCCCTGGGGGTGTGTGGGGAGGGGGGAGAATGCATAGGCCTTGTACAGATGGGGGAAACTGAGTCCCCGGAGGATGCAGGACTCTCCCACCCTCCTGTGGTAGGCCCTGGATGCCAGGCTTGGAGCGTGTTTCCAAGCACAGCTAGTTTTGGGGGGGAGAGGCGAAGGGGGGCGGTCTCCAAGTTGCCCTGGGCTTCCATAGTGGGGACAGACCAGAGCCCAGAGGTGGACACTCACTGTTCCTCCAGGCAAAGGACCCGTCCATCTGTCCGTCTGTCTACCCCTCCTAGCCAGGCTGTGCTGCAGCCCCCAGCTTAGCCAGCCTCTCGGTAGAGCTGTGAGTGATAGCATCTGGTAGCATGGTGGGACCTGGCATTCACAGCCCACGCCGAGTGCCCACCCCCAAGGCTGGGCAGGTGTGTCCTGAGATCCAAACACAGTGTTGAGGGTCACAGAGCTGATGGGCATGGGAACAGGCTCTCCATTTTTTAGGGGGGGGGGCGGGGGGAGCCGTTTATTACCTTGCTTTTCTACTGCTGGTGACTTTTCAGTCTCCTTTGGCCTTGTAGGTGTTCAGGGCATTGCCTGAGCTGCTGGGTGCCAGGCTGGCTACCCTGCAGAATGAAATCAAGTCAGGCCATGCTGCTGTCACCCGCTCCGCCTTCTTCTGGAAGGAGGAACTCCCTAGGGGTATCCCCGGGGGCGGGGGGGGGGGCCGGCTTTAGGAAGTAAAGGAATCATCTTCGACTTGCCTGTTGTGCACAGAGGGACCGTGCAGGGGATAGGAGATCTCAGAGTCAAAAGGGGGACACCAGCTCCCTCTCCGTCCCTCAGCTCACTTGCACACTGTGTAGGCGTGCCTGAGAGGTTTCTGTTCCTCTTGCCTCTTAAGTCAGGAGTGGGTATGCCCGCCTGCAGCCCTGTCACAAGAATGGAATCTGTGCATTTCCAACGGTGAAGGGTGATCAAAGTAGTGAGGGGTGGCGCCAAGATTGGGGTCTCAGGCGGAGCCCAGAGACGCACTGACCAGCTGGAAAAAATAGAGCTTTTATTTTAAGAGCCTTTACACACACACACAAAAATTATGAGCGTCAGATATTAGATCCACTGCTCCTCATATTCCTGCTGGCTGATCATCTTGATAAACTTCTTGCAGAGCAGCTGGTTAAAAAAAAAAAGAGGGGGGGGGTGGAAGAAAGAACCAAAACTGTAGTAAGCTGTGATAAACAGAATGATTAAGAAGTTTCAGAGTCGGGCATGGTGCCTCACGCTTGTAATCCCAGTACTCTGGAAGCTGAGGCAGAGGCTAACAAGTTCAAAGCCAGTCTGGGCAAGACACTGTCTCAAAATAAAAAGGTGTGGGCACGTCGCTCAATGGTAAGATGGTTTTTTTTTTTTTCTTAGTGGGCCTTGAACCACATGGCAAATGAAAAGCATCGGGAAGGGGGGTACGCAGTCATGCACTCCAGCCTTGCCAAAACAGTTACAGGCCCAGTTGCATTTACTCTGATCTAACTGTCCCTCCAAATGCCACGAGGCAGGCTGGCCTCGCACACATGGGCGTGGTGCACCATGCAGATGCACAACCTTGTTCGAGCTCCAGCTCTTTATACATAGTGAGAGCTGAAGTGTCAATGCTAGTTTAAGCCCTCACATTCCCTCTAAATGGGTGAGGGAGAAAAATGATGGCTGGGCCTTGCCCGCCAGCAGTCCTGGACCCCCCCACTCCCCCCCACCACAACTGTGTTCCCTCCTCCCACAGCACAGGGGGATCTGTTGTCCTGTGCCCGTTGTATAGAGGGTGAACCTGCGGCTTCGTGGCTGTGCACAAATAGGAAGCTGGTGGGAAGTTAGAACTGCCATGCAGCCTCTTGGCTCCCAGCTGTATTTCTGTGGCTATAGGGAAGGGGAAAAAAAAAAATTAGAACCGAAAGAGAAGTAAAAATGAAACCACACCATGGAATACTAACAACCAAACACCGGACCGAACTTCTGCAAGCACTTGGTTTTCTGGTCCAAGACGAACAGTAAGGCCATTATGCGTGAAGTGGAAGGTTTACTTTGATTACCCTTCGGCATAGACTTCTTGTGTGCATAGGTCACCACCCACACCCCTGGTGGGTGAGGGAGGGGATCCTGACTGCCCCCTTACCCCAGCCCCCCAGCCTCTGCTCCTGTCACAGAGGATAGGAATGATAGAAACGGCACTCAAGAGCACCACACAGAAATGGCAGGGAATTCACGGGCAGGAAATCTGTCCTGCCTGGTCAGAGAGAAGCTCTTTCCTGGGTTGTACATGCGTAGGACTCTGGGCTGGAGTGTGGCTGACAGGAATTCTTCAGGGGTTGTTTAGGAACTCACTGGCAAATTCCTAGGCAGCAAATAGAGAAGTCCCGTGTTTAGCAATCTGCTGGGATCTGCTGGTGTGTGTGTGTGTGTGTGTATGTGTGTGTGTGTGTGTGTGTGTGTGTGCGTGTGTGCACACCAGTCTGGGACTTGAACTCAGGGCCTGGGCGCTGTCCCTGAGCTACTTTTGCTCAAGGCCAACACTTGAGTCACAGCTTCATGTCTGACTTTTTCAGAGTAGTTTATTGGAGAGAAGTCTCACAGACTTTCCTGCCCCAGCTGGCTTCGAACCACGATCCTCAGATCTCAGCCTCCTGAGTAACTAGGATGACAGGCGTGAGCCACCAGCATCTGGCCACCCTCGGGTTTTTCTGTCCATTCCCAAACATGCTTTGTACCTCTCAGCCCACTCACCTTTCCTAGGAACCTGATTGAAGTTTTGGGAAATGACCAGTGTACCCACAAGATGGGGGGTAGGAGAAGGACATCACTGAAAAATTGGTGTCTATCTGGAAAAGCCTATGGCATCCAAAGGTTATCTATGGATTGCTTTTTAAAAGGAACCAAGGCTTTGATAATGAAGAAATAGTCCGTCTTTTGGATGCTACCTGGAGTTCTCTGAGCACAGGGGTCTTGCAAAAGCCATTACTTGCTATTTTATTTTGTTGGGGTTTTTTTTTGTCCCACCCCCTACAGTGTTGGGAATTGAACCCAGGCCCTGGATTACGTTAAACAAGCCCTCTACCACTTGATCCAAGCCCCCGGTATTTTGTTCATATTTTATTTTTGAGTTAGGTTCTCACTCACTTTGCCCAGGCTGGCTTCAACCTTGAGATCCTCCTGCCTCTGCCTACCAAAAGTAGCAAGATGACAGATAGGGTGCCACCACATCCTGCTCGGTTGGTGGGATTTGTTTTTGTTTTTGCCTTCTCTGACTTAACGATTCCTGTCCGATGACCGGAAATCCCCTCACAGCTCCAGGAGCTCCTGATAAAGGTCCTGCCATGATCCGACCTGAGCACCATTCTGGAGAGTAGAGGGTACAACTGAATAAAACATGCCACATGAAATCCTGAGGCTCTGAAGGCTTCTGGCCAGACGCTGAGAACATTCGCCCTTTCCTTTTCTGCCATCACTGAGGGTCTTTTTGAGTCAGGTAGTCATGGAGCAGTATTTTCCACAAGTTCATTCCAAGCCCCTACACCTACTAGGATGCCAGACTCCCCCCTACCTCCCCCCACCCACAACCACAGAATGCCAGCCCCCAGCATAAGCAGAACTCTGCCCTCTGGGTTCTTTGGGGGATAGAGAAAAGGAGACAGCCACCTCTTTGGGGTCCCAGCATCAAACCAAGGCTGCCTCCCAGGCCACAGGATGCAAACAGGAGTACTCCTCAGAGAATGGAGTTGAAGCTGGGGGAGTCTAAGGATAACCAACAGTTAAATGGGAAGGCACCGGTGTTAGGGCCCTGACAGTTGCTGGCTGTGCGCCCTGGAGCGGAGGGTGGACACTCATGGGGAGCCGGGCAGCAGCTGGTCTAGGCACGCAGAGCGCGTCTGGGCGTGGAGCTGCGAGGGAGGAGCTGTGGCCTCCTCTCCTCTAGGACAGGCCCTGAGACGCACACTGGGGTGCCATGTTTGGGCTGCTCAGACTGGAGTATACAGATGGCAGGAAGGAGGCTAGGTCGTCTCTCAAAGCTTCTTTGCTTCACAAACCAACCACTTAGATTTTGCTAAATTTTCCCAGTCCGGGATGTGCAATCTAGAATTTCTTTAAGATGCCTAGGGCTGGGAAGGTGGCCTGGCGGTAGAGGGTTTGTCTAGCGTGCATGAAGCCCTGGGTTTGATTCCTCAGTACCACGTAACACAGAAAAAGCCGGAAGTGGCGCTGTGGCTCAAGGTGGTAGAGCCTTGAGCAAAAGCAGCTTAGGGACAGCACCCAGGCCCAGAGTTCAAGCCAAAAAAAAACAAAAAAAACAAAACAAAACAAACCACATACACATAACTACAACCTATATGCCTAAGAAGGATACTTACATGAAATTATATCAATGTGTAAGACAGACTTGAGTGATTTCGTATTTGAGGGGGAGCTCTGATGGAGACTAAGTAGATGGCACCCCACACTCTACCCTCTGGAGCTGAAGTTGAAATGCTGCCTCTCCTCCTCTCCAGACAGTTCTGATGACATCAAGGTGGGTGACACGCGACCTACCTAACACCGTTGCTTTCGTTTGCAGACCCAATGTGTGCGCTGTGCAGAAACTCATTGGCACCAACAAGAAGTACTTCACTAACTGCAAACAGTGGTACCAAAGGAAAATCTGTGGGAAATCAACGTGAGTATCTGGAACCATCCAAGACCAACCAGCCTACCAAGGTGGGGTGGGCGGGGGGGGGGGGAGGAATGATTTGATTTCGCATCTTTTAAAAAGGTTTCAAATTGGGCTGGGAAGGTAGCTTAGTGGTAGAGTGTCTGCCTAGCATTTGTGAAGCCCGGGGTTCAATTCCTCAGTACCACATACACGGAAAAAGTCGGAAGGAGCGCTGTGGCTCAAGTGGTAGAGAGCTAGCTTTGAGCCAAAGAACTAAGGGTCAGCGCCCAGGCTCGGGGTTCAAGCCCCAGGACTGGCAAGCAAACAAACAAACAAAAATCAGATTGCAAATATGATTTACATTCCCAGAAGCATAAAGCTCTGTGTGTGTGTGTGTGTGTGTGTGTGTGTGTGTGTGTGTGTTTCTCTTGAGTTTGACTATTTAAAGGACAAACCACCAACACTTCTCTGGGAAAGAAAGCTTGTTGGTAAATTTACCTTAAAGAGGTAACTACTCCCATTACAAATCCAAGATAATAAACACCTGTAAAAAAAAAAAAAAAAGACAGCAGAGCATTCCAGGACATTGCCTCGGACCCATAACCTGGCTTTGCCACTTACAGAGGAAGGTTTTATCTTTTAAAATCCCTAGTTACTTCGTTTGTGAAATTGGAGACACAGCAGGCCCAGTCTTGGTGTGTCACTGAAATAATTTAGTACATGAGAGAATAAATACGAGACCCAGCACATAGTACCTGCTCAGTAAATGCTAGCTGCTACTGTTACCCCGGAATGGGACCACACAAATAGAAGATGTGAACCAAGGTGGCTCTTGTGGGGCTTCTGGGGGCTTTTTAAAAAGGGAGCTGAACTTCACCCAGCCTGTACCCCAGTGGCAACAGTACTCTAGCAACAGGATCACTTCAGGGAGAGCCCCCAGCTATGGGAGCTAGAACATACCTTCTGGGATTTAGCAAAAAACAAAAACAAAAACAAAAGCAATAATTTTTGCTCTTTTGAATAGGATTATGCAGATTCCATTACCACGCATCTTTTCCATGACGCCCAGGTTAAAAAATAATTACACGTTCAGTAATTACCCATCGCTTCCTTTATGTACATGCATTATCTCCTCAAACAATTAATTACTTCATTAAACACAAAGCAGGATTCACATAATTGCTTCCTGGAAGGCCACCAAAGGGCTACTGCCAAGTGAACAGCTCATCAGGATCTCAGCGCCCACATTTCAAAGAACACCTCCTTTTTTTTTTTTTTTTTGGTCAGGTCAGGCTTCTTTAAAAATAGGCCCCACCCACCTGTAATGGTCAGCTGGCTTCAGGGCACACCTGCCATGCTGTGTCTTGTTTTGGGACACCGGCCCCAAGAGTGAACAGGAGCTTGGTGACATTTCTCTATAGTCCCAGCTGTCACTGTGGCTGGTTTATGAGTCACACTGGCTCCGTGGCTCTTGCTGCTGGTTTCTTGCTCCATGTGTGCCAAGACAAGCACAAACCACAGAGCACCCCGGTGATCGAGGCCTTTCCTCTGGTGTGGGTTTGGCTTTGAGAACAGGGAGGGCCAGCAGCATCATCTAGCACCAGGCAAAGGAAGACAGGGATGGACATGTTGTTAGGGAGTAAGACGTAAGAGTTGAGTGAGACAAGACCTATTCATAACCCAGTCCCAGGGAAGGGGTGACATTATCCAAAAAAAAAAGAAATATACTCTGGCTGGGCACCGGTGGCTCACGCCTGTCATCCTAGCTACTCAGGAGGCTGAGATCTGAGGATCACGGTTCACAGCCCACCCCAGCAAGGAAAGTCCATGAGACTCTTATCTCTAAGGAACCACCAGAAAACTGGAAGTGGCACCGTGGCTCCAGTGGTAGAGCGCTCACTTTGAGCTGAAGAGTTCAGAACCCCACAACCACACCTACCCCCCCCACACAGAGAGAAATCTGCTCTTTATCTGACTTATGTAACTGTAACCCCTCTGTCCATCTCCCTGTATCATAGCAATTTTAAACATTAAAATAATAACAATAACCCAGTCCAGCCTATCTACCTGGTCTCACAAAGCCAAAAGAAAAAAAAAAGATATTCATATCCAACTGTTTGGGGGCAGCTTCAAAAAAAAAAAAAGAGGAAATGAGGATAGGAAAACTTGAGTTGATTTAAAAAACAAACAAACATTCAGGACAAGAGAGGCCCTTCCTGGAACATCTTGTGCCACTTCAGGAAGGTGGTACTGATGTGGGAAAGAACTCCGGAGAAGACAAGGGGAGAACTCAGCTTGGTTATTCCCCAAGCGCTAAGGATAGCTTTGTGTGGTTCTGGTACAGGGGGACCTGATCCCTGACAGCCTGTACTGGGGTTACCCTGTAGCCAGAATGAGGTGTGTGACGGGTACAGGTGATGTCATCCAGGGAAGAGTGACTTTCTGGTAAAGATTAGGAAATGCAAGCCCAGTGGTAGTGGTGGTGGAGGAGCCAGCCAGCATGGACAGAGGGCTTTTTTTTTTTTTTTGCCAGTCCTGGGGCTTGAACTCAGGGCCTGGCCACTGTCCCTGAGCTTCTTTTGCTCAAGGCTAGCTCTCTACCTCTTGAGCCACAGTGCCACTTCTGGCTTTTTCTGTGTATGTGGTACTGAGGAATCGAACCCGGGGCTTCGTGCATGCTAGGCAGGCATTCTACCACTGAGCCACCTTCCCAGCCCTGTGACTCAGCTCTGTCCTCAGCTCTTCTGCATCTCTGTAGAGATCTGAGAACGGAGTGCTTGGGACCAAAGCACCAAAGCGCGACATGTGAATGGAATCACCACCGGTGGACCCCTGTTTAGTGACTGAGTGAATTTTTATTATCGGTTGATTTTTCTTTTTTTAAATCATTCGTTAGCTTTTATTTCAGATGCTAAAGAGCACAGAAGGTTCATGGGGGGCAGAGAGCATTCCTCTGGTGATTTTGGGGGCCTGGCTCGATTGGTAGCCATCATTTTTTGTTTTTGTTTTTTGTTTTTGACATGTGGGGACTGGTGAGGAGGTGCGGGGAAACTGTGGTCAGGAAGTCTGGCTGCTTTTCCACGGTCCTCTTTTGGATGAGCCTGAGGGGATGAGAAGTTAGACCGGGGTGACATCACAGAGATGTCACCGTCATGCTAGGCCCTCAGACATCGTTCAAGCATCAGGGAGTGCCAGCAGGTCAGGGGTGCAGGAATCCTTCCCCATGCCTTGAAATTATATCAGGAGCTGTAGAATTTCACAAGTACAGAAGTTGTTCCCTGGAGCCAAGAGCAGCTGGCTGGCAGGAAGGACACATTCTTTGTTTGGTTTTTTCTAGAAGCAAGTGTGGCTTTGCCCAGGGGCGAAAGAGTGACACTTCCTGAGCACTAGGTTCCTAGTCAGAGACTGAACTTCAGCTGAAACCAGCCCGGGCGATTTTCCATCAGTCTGCAGATCTGTTTTCCCAGAAGTCATTCTGGTCAGGGCATTCAGAGAGATCTGATAAGAAGCTAAAGAGGTGTCATCCTCTTCCTCCCTTTTCTACATCCCATAATCTTGGTTCCAGGAAGAAAAAGAGGCCATCTAAACCATCCGTAGACCTGCGCTAGCCCCTTTTCTGTTTCTTTTATTAGTCTTTTTGGTCGGTCGTGGGGCTTGAACACTGGGCCTGGGCGCCGTCCCTCAGCTTTTCAGCTCAAGGTGAGCGCTCTACCACTTGAGCCACAGCGCCACTTCCTGTTTTCTCTTTCTGAGTGGTTTATTGGAGATAAGAGTCTCACGTATAAGAGTCTCCAGGCTGGCTTTGAACTGCGATCCTTAGCTCTCAGCCTCTTGAGGAGCCAGGATGACAGGTGTGAGCCATTGGTGCCTGGCTCTTTTTCTGTTTCATATTGTCTGTGCAACCACCTAGGACCCATGCCCCCCCCCCCCATTACCTCAGAATAATCAGTTCAAAGCTAACAGAGATTAGGTATACACTCAACCTCCCTGAGAAGTGGTGAAGGTTCTGTAAATGAAAAGGGTGTTTAGCTAACATGGAATTTTGTTCTGTTGAGGATGTACCCAAACGCTCTGACTAAAGCAAAGCGTTCCCCATAGCCGTCCGCATTCCCAATCTCCAAGCCCGTAAATGTTCCCTTACGTGGTGGAAACGGGGACTTTGTGGTTAGGAATCTTGAGAGCAGATTATCCCGAATTATTTGGTGAGGCCCGTGTAATCGTGAGAATCCTTGTAGGTTGGAGGCCGCATGGGAAAAGTCGGACCAGGTATGCTAGTAAAGGTGGATGTGACTACAAGCCAAAGAGTGCAGTGGCCTCTGGAAGTTGGAAAAAAGCAAGGAGTGGTGTGCTCCTGCAATAAATTGTTTCTAGGAGGAACACAACCTCAGAAGATTTTAGCCTAGGGAGACCAACTTCTGACATAATACATTTGTTTGAGAAGGAGCTGGACAGCCGAGCACTGAGCAGCTGACAAGTGCTTCGCCTTTGTAAGCTTCTCCAGTCCTCACGATCGTTTTTGTGGGTTTAATTCAAGGCAGTCATTGGCCTGTTTGCATCTAGGAAGGCAGAGGCCCTGGAAACCTAGACATCTTGCTTAAACTCGTCATGCACTGGTCTGTGGCCACCCCAATGTGCACAGGGCAATATGCCCTGGAAACACTCAACCACCCTTTCTCAAGAAAATGTCCTTCCTCAGCCCTGTCTGAGCTGATGGATAGATACCACAGTGGCAAGAAGCCTTTGCTGATGGACAGTCTTCTAGAGACTGATTCCCACCTGCCTCCCCCTGTCTGGGGCCTCAAAGACCAGCTCAGCTGTGTTGGGAAAGGTCCAGTGGAGAAACGAACCCCTCTGTGCCACAAAGTCTGCTGGCCGTGCCCGTGTCTAGACGCGATTTGCTCTGCCTTTGTTCTGTGGCAGCTCTCAGAAAGCAGGGCACACTGACGCATTTGCCTTCCGTCACGGGAGACTGGCTTCTCGGCTCCTTGCTTCATCATCTTCCACAGTCTAGTTAATCCCCAAGCACTTAAAACAGCCAGAACTGGGGCCAAACCTGCACAGCAAACTCTGGAAGACACGCGATTGCTTTAGCTTTGCATTAACTTCACGGAAAATAGGTGGGAAGTGAGGTGGGAGGGAAGCTAATATCCCTACACGGAGACTTGGGGCTGCCGCCAGATTTCTGCCCCCTTTCTTTTCTGGTGCCCTTTGAAATCAGGCACCTTCTCCTTGCTTTTCTCCCTTGAGCTGTTCTTCGGCCCCCAAGAAGCGGGAACAGTAGCTCATTGTCTTCGAGAGTGTATTTATTTCTGACTTGGTGTTTTTGCTTGCTAGCAAAGGAGAAGCTGGCGGGGGGGGGGGGGCAGAGGCCTTTAATCAGAGCAGCTTTGCCTGATGAGATGATGTCTAGCTGCCAGTACAGTGGTCCTTCCTGCGCAGGGATATCTAAGAACTGCAGGGGATTGTAGGTGCCTCATGCTTTTCAGCCTGTTCTGCATCTATCCCAGAGAGAGATGGCATGAAATCCAGCCCCTGGGCTGACGGGGGGTTCATGAGTCTTGTTCTCCTCAGGACCAGAGAGAGCACTGAGCGAGGCACAGTAAACACTGAGTAGGTGGGACAGACTTCCATCCAGACAGCCCATGTAGGACATTCTGATCAAGGTTCTCCCTAATATTATAGTTTCTGCTTCTCTGGGGCCAAGCAATCTGGTTTGGAGAAGGTCTGGTCCTGTCAGGATACCGGGAGCAGAGAGGCTCCTGGCTTTAGGACCCACTGGGCTTCTCTGCTCCCACAGAGGACATGGCTGACCCTCTGGTTCTTAGAAATTACAGAGATGTCTGGCTGGGCAGTGGGAAGGCAGGGGAAGGAGATGCTGACAGAGCGTGAAGATTAGGAGAAAGCTCCCTGGCACAAGGCGAGCCCGGATAGAGCCCTGGGAGGCTGTGTGCAGCCTCGAAGGCTGAGTCTCCGCTGTGAGAAGGCTGTAGGTGCCGTCCACCTGCCTGCATGCACAAGTCTGGCGCCACACAAAGCCACAATGCAAGCCTGAGTTCTCCGGTCCCAGAGGATCTATCTGTGCCTACCCTAGTGACTTACGCCTGTAATCCTAGCTACTTAGGAGACTGAGATCTGGAAGATTGTGGTTTGAAGCCACAGAAAAGCGTGAGAGTCCATCTCAGATTAACCAGAAAAAAAAAAAAAGGCAGGGAAGGAGAGAAGGGAGGGAGCGAGGAGAGGAGGAGGAGGGAGGGGAGGAAGGGAAAGGAAGATAGACATGTTTTGCATTTGGCGCTAGACCTTAGCAGGTCTAGACTGCGCTCATACTGCAGAATGCGAAGATTTGACGTCAAGTCGATATTAGAGGGAGATTTTTTCAGAGCTCCCCCTTTCTCGCAGTGAAATTCTCCGACTTTGGGACGCCCACAATGTGTGGAGTGTGCAGAAGCTATGCTTTTCGACCTCCATATAGATGGTGGCCGTGCCCCCCAAGGTGGGCTTATCCGAGCAAGGGGAAGGGAAAGTTTTGAGCTTTCCCCACAAATGACTTCAAAGATTTAAACTGTGCCCTGCTGGTTATCCAAGTGTGGAGAACGTTGCCAACTGGTTGCTTTCTGGAAAGATGGTGGGATGGCGGAAGGAGATGGGTGGTTGGGGAACTTAATGTGAAACCATAAGAAACCAAAATCTCTGCTTCTTTGCTTGGCTGGTGCTCTACCACCTGAGCCATGCTGACTCTTGTGTTGTTTATCTTGGAGGTGGAGTCTCTTGTACTTTTCTACCCAGGCTGGCTTGAAATCATAATCCTCCAGATCTTAGCCTCCTAAGAAGCTAGGATTATAGAGATGAGCCACCAGTGTCTATCCGTTAAAAAAAAAAAAGTGTTTTGACTGATTAAAAAAAAACATTTTAATTAAATAAGTAGAAAAGCAAGTACCTTCAGGACACGCGCTTTGTTTTATTCTAATTTTAAAGCTGGGTTGTGAAGATTGAGGAAAATTCAGTCTGTATCCTGCCCTTTGGGTTGTTAAATCAGAATTGGAAGAGCACAAGAGATTTAACCTCATGACCCTAACACACACACACACACACACACACACACACACACACACCTACACCTTACCGTTGAAGACACTGAGACTCATTGGCTGGGGATGTGTCAGGCTCAGAGCTAGAACTTCACCTCTCCCTTTCCAGAATGCCAATATCAGAGTTCCCTGGCATTGTACTGAAGGTCCATTTCTAGATGAGTTATGTTTTCTGCTCGCATCACTGAGTGTATCACTGGAGTCTGGCTTCCCGATTGGCTTTCTGCATGCGGCCAGCCATCAGGAACAGTCTACCAGGCCGAGGAAGAGCAACAAGCTCTTTGTGAAGGAGAGGCACCGTCATGATCTCTACCAACTGAGGTCCCCAGAGGAGAACATTACACCGGAGGATTCTGCCTGGAGAGGGCCCACGGACACCAGGAAGAGTGAAGGAGTCCCTGACAGGTGTGTGTTTCTGATTACAGAGTCATCAGCTACGAGTGCTGTCCTGGATATGAAAAAGTCCCAGGAGAGAAAGGCTGTCCAGCAGGTGAGTGAACTGGGCTTTGCCTGTGGGTGGACTGGAGGGGCGAGGTACAGGAGAGGGCTAAACACTGAGAAGGCAGCCGGATCTGAATGGAGGTCCACAGAATGAGGAGCGAGTGGGCCTCTGGGTCCACGAGGGCATGGAGGAAACCTTATGTCTCCTGAGCAGACCCCTCAAAAAGCCGATGGGACCGAATCCCCCATGGCCCCCCAAATGCCTCCTCCTCCCACTGCATCGGAGGCTGGCCCATCAGAATGTGGCAAAGAAGGAACCTGCAAATGGCCTCGAGCTCAGCCTTGCTCTAGGCTGAAGACAGCGTCACACTTACAAAGTCACAAGGAGGGTACCGTTGTTGTGGGTGCCATGGGTGGGGTCCTGATATTAATGACTCGAGTCAGAGGGTAAGCAGGGGACTCGGAGACTGGCCTGTAGAGGAATTCGAGCTCTGGGAGCCAGGTTTCAGATCCTCTTCAGTTTTTATCATGAAGTGGTTGTACAAAGAGGTTACAATTCCGTAAGCCATGAAACCAGGACAGTGGGTCATGGTCAGTATCACCCCCTCCCATCGTTCTTCCCTTTCCCCCTCCCCCACCCCTCCCTTCAAGTCACACAGTTCAATTTTTTTGTTGCTGTTGTTTGGTCATGGGGCCTGAACTCTGGGCCTGGGCGCTGTCCCTGAGCTCTTCAACTCAAGGCGAGTGCTCTACCACTTGAGCCTCAGCACCACTTCCCGTTTTCTGGTGGTTCATGGGAGATCAGAGTCTCATGGACTTTCCTGCCTGGGCTGGCTTTGAACCTCAATCCTCAGATCTCAGCCTCCTGAGTAGCTAGGATGATAGATGTGAGCCATCAGCGCCCAGCACATAGTTCAATTTTTACATGTTGTGCACTGAGTAGAAATGAACGCTAGACTCACCGTCTGAGAAGGCCTCTCTCAACTTGAGGACACCTTGTAAAAAAGACACGTTTTGTGACCTACAAATGCATGATGTACCTCACAGATACATAGCTCCATTGTGTGTAAGCTATGAAGGCATTAGTTGTTTATTGCAACTAGTAAGACTAGTTGGTGATGAAGATGTCTGTTCCTGGTGTACATTCTTGCCTGTATTATCTTAATGCCTGCAAACAAAAGCTTTGCTCTGCTGTGGTAGAGTGATTAGAAATGATCAATTAGCTGGATCCACATAGGGCAGCATTTGACTTACTGAGTCAATTTCTTTTTTTTTGGTCTGTCCTGGGTCTTGAACTCAGGGCCTGGGCACTGTCCCTCAGCTCTTCAGCTCAAGGTGAGTGCTCTACCACTTGAGCCACAGCACCACTTCTGGTTTTCTGGTGGCTCATGGGAGATCAGAGTCTCATGGACTTTCCTGCCTGGGCTGGCTTTGAACCTCGATCCTCAGATCTGAGCCTCCTGAGTAGCTAGGATGACAGGCGTGAGCCACTGGCGCCCAGTCTACTGAGTCAATTTCTAAGACACTTGGCAGCCACAGTGTTAGGCACCCCAGCTTCAGGGACTCACTGCTGGTTCTTCTTCACCTAAAGAGAGAGCAGGTGTGTCTGAGTAGCATGGGACTCCCACACACACACCCCCCCCCAACCCAGGCCAATTCTTTCCCTTGCCTCTGCTTACGTAGCCCTTCCACTCTCCAACCTTTACGAGACCCTGGGAGTTGTGGGCTCCACCACCACACAGCTGTACACAGACCGCACGGAAAAGCTGAGGCCTGAGATCGAGGGGCCGGGCAGCTTCACCATCTTCGCTCCTAGTAATGAAGCCTGGGCTTCCCTGCCTGCGGTAAGATGACCCTCCCTCCCTCCGCCCTGCCCTCCCATTAAAGGGCGAGAAGAGTTGTAGACACCCTCCCTCCCACCCCCGCCTTGGGGGCTTAGGGACCATGTTTCCCAGGGGAGCCAGGACCCATCCCCTCCCCCCCCAGCCATTATCACACTGTCCTTCCTTCTAGGAAGTGCTGGACTCCCTGGTGAGCAACGTCAACATCGAACTGCTCAACGCCCTCCGCTACCACATGGTGGACAGGCGCGTGCTGACCGACGAGCTGAAGCACGGCATGTCGCTCACCTCCATGTACCAGAACTCCAACATCCAGATCCACCACTACCCCAATGGAGTGAGGACAACCCCTCCCCCCCATCCCACAGCCCTGGCCTCTGTCCCCACTCCCGGCCCGTTAGGGTGGGGATGCTTTCTGGGATCTGTCCTACAGTGTGACAAGCTGTGGACCATGCCTGGTCTCCCGGGCTGCCTTCTCCCGGGATCTTCCTGTCCCCTAGCAGGTGGAGCCTACATTCTGGTAGTGACTATGAGAGCATTGTTTTCTCCTCCTGGGCACAGGGAAGCTTCCAGACTCTCTTGTGTGAACCGCGCATTCTGGGGCTTGGACTCAGGGCCTGGGTACCTGTCTCCCTGCGCTTTTTCACTCAAGGTTGGCCTTCTGTCCCATCTGAGCCACACCTCTACTTCTGGCTCTTTTTTTTTTTTTTGGTGGTGGTAGTTCATTGGAGATAAGAGTCTCAAAGACACTCCTTCCCTGGCTGGCTTTGGACCATGATCCTCAGACCTCAGCCTCCTGAGTTGCTAGGATGGTAGGCGTTGAGACACCAGCACTCAGATAACTGTTCTCTCCCACTTCTCTTCTGGGCAGATTGTGACCGTCAACTGTGCCCGGCTGCTGAAGGCCGACCACCACGCCACCAACGGTGTGGTGCACCTCATCGACAAGGTCATCTCCACCGTCACCAACAACATCCAGCAGATCATCGAGATCGAGGACACCTTTGAGACACTGCGGGTGAGGCCCGGGCCGGGGACGCACGGCTTCCGCAGAGGGGCCTGGCTAGATTGCTTCTGTAGGAGAAGTTTCCCTTCATGCAGGGAAACACTCATCGGTGCTCGCCTCCACCTGTCCTGCGAAACGCCTGTCTGTCCTCTCTTCCATAAAGATTTCTTTTCTTTGGCTCCTCTGGGAAAATGCAGAGTTTGTGGCCTGTGGTCCTCTGAGCCCTGGGCCTGCACTGTGAGGTTGAAGGAAGACCTCTCTCTTCCAGATCTGTTTCCCAGGTGGAGTTGCATGCCCTTGCTCCTCTAAAGTCCTTGGTTCCCCAACCAAGCAGAGAGGTGCAGTGTGAACTTGGGAGTCTGGGGATCTGACTCCTGGGACTGGCTTCCTGGACTGCTTTAGAGGCATAAGAATACTTACTGTTCCTCCCCACCCCCCGCCCAGCCCAGGCCTCTGCCTTACACCCCAGAGGGGTGAGTGGGGCGTTGCTCTTGGCAGCCGATGCATGGGAGGAGGAAGTGAACGCAGGCTGCCCTGTCAGGGGTTTTGCCCTGATTCGAGGAACATGTCCTAACCACAAAGGACACAAGTGGGAATGGGGCGACCCCTCCCTGGAGATCTCCAACACAGAGTCAAACACACGGAGGCCGGCTGGTATCCATGGGCCTCAGCAAGTAGGGGGATAGCTCTTAACAGACTCTGGAGGACCCCAAAGGATCTGTAAGCTCTTCTTCTCTGTCTTCACTTTGGGGGTCACTCAGAGGATGGGGGAGGGGGATTCTGTGAAGGAGATAATGTGACCTCGGAGTCAGTGGCACATATTTTGATTAACCACAGCTGGTCCTATTGAGTAACCTCCCCGTACTATTTAGGTTTTTCCTTCCCTAACCCTTTGCCACTTCCTAATGCCCATCTTTGCTGCTTCTAACACATGCTTAGGAAGCACCTGCTCCTTCCTGGAGATTGTTTTCTGTGCGAGAGCACTGCGTGAGCAAGCAAGACACGCTTTTTCCTTGTAGTTATCCCTGGGGCGACAAATAAGATACAGACATAAACCCAAAAGCCACGGGTGGTGATAAAAAGTGTTGTGCAGTCAGCAATGTCAACGGCGAGCAAAAGTTGCAGGAGAGAGATGGCTGGCCAGGAAAGACATGCCGAAGGATGAGAACGGACCTGTTCCACACAGCACTGGGGCAGGGTCGTAGCCAGGCAGGAAGGGCCGGAGGGGAGATCAGAGACCGGTGCAGTAAGGAGGAGGTCTGTGGACCACAGGGAAGAGCGCAAGGCAGGCAGAAAGGAGTGGCCTGGCCGCGTCCTTCAAGGCCTGCCTGATGTGCGGAGGAGGTCCTGTCCATCCTGAGAGTAGCCGCCAGCTGTTAGAGGATCATCCTGGCTGCTCTGCAGGGAGGGGGTCGAGTGACCGCTCTACCTGGAGTTCCCTTAGGTAATTGAGATTGCAGTTACCAGAAGGACAGCTAAAGCATCAACACCAGGCAGACTGGGGCCCACAGGCCAGAGAGGAGATGCCTCGTTGTCTCCCAGAGGAATAGAAGTGAAAGAGGGGAAGGCAGAGGGAATGGTAGGGGCGAAGACGTGGAGGTAGAGAGGAAGACGGCGTGCTTATCAAATGCCCGAGAGAGATGGCCATTGTGGCTGGAGTGCAGAGCAAGACCAGGCCGCGGCAACCCACTTTCTCTCTCCCTCTCGGAGGGAGGACTGGCCAGGGTCTAGGAGAAGCCAGACCCTTTGGGGAGCCCTCCATCCCCCCCTCATCCTCCTAGGCTGCTGTGGCTGCGTCAGGGCTCAACACCGTGCTGGAGGGCGAAGGTCAGTTCACGCTCTTGGCCCCCACCAACGAGGCCTTTGAGAAGATCCCTGCCGAGACGCTCAACCGGATCCTGGGCGACCCAGAGGCCCTGAGAGGTGAGCAACCAACGCCCCCTGCGTCCACCCTTGAAGTCTGGACAGGAGCTTCATGGGTAGGCCAGCGTTATAGTTAAAAAATAAATAAATAAACCCGTTGCCAGTTCCCCTTTAAGCGAGGGGATGGAAGGATGGGAGGACCAAGCGTAGAAGATGGGGAGAGGGCCAGGCCACTTTCAACTCCATGACCTCCAAAGGACCTTGAGCACTAAGTTGTCTTGACAAGGCCGGAGACCCCTGGAGAGGAGAGGAGGCCCCAAGTTCCCTGTGTACCCCCCAGTCACACTCTTCCCTCCCTACCAAATACAATCCAGGGATGTCTTCATTTCTCTTGAATCTATTTAAACCCGCCCTGGCATGGTCTACGTCAGATGCCTAATGCCTTTCAGACACCCTATAAATTTAAAACATTCTAGCCAGACAGGGATGGGAAAGGGCCTATTTCTGAAAGCACAGATGGGATCTGTTCTGCGTCCAAGTGACTCTGGTGCCTGTCTGTTCCATGCCAGGAACTGGTATTGGATACAGTTCCCTCTGTGCCTTCTAGGAATGAAAGCCTAGAGGGTAGCAAACCGGAGCAGGTTGTTGGGATGTAATCTAGTGAGTATAAGTAGGAGTGAGGGCTGGGGTGGGTGGATGGGGGAGAGGGGGCATATAGCCTGGGGTTGGGGGGTGGAGCTCCAGGCTTCCTAGAGGAAGTAAGCTGTAAATGCATCTATCTTAACACACTTGGAGTCTTTTTTTTTAGAGCCATGTTCCCATTGCATTAGTCAGTTTTCTGTTACTGTATCCAATAACCAGGAAGGTCAGCTTATAAAGCCAAAAGGTTTGCTTTGCTGTGGTTCAGTTTTGGAAGTTTCAGTCTATGGTCACTTGGCCCTGTTGCTTTAGGACTGTTCACCCAAAGTCATCCCAAAGCTAGCAGGGGGGGGGGAAGAGGGGGGGAGTGTCTGAGGGAAGGAAGAGACACCTGGATCCCAAATCCTCTTAAAGGGCACCCCTACTTTTTAAGGTTTTCACAATCTCCCCATAGAGCAGCCAGGCTCTGGGGGATATTCCAAGTCTGAACTATAAGCACCCATTAAAAAAAACATCTTCTGTACACAGCACATGTGCAGATATCAGATCTTCTTATTCTAAAGCAGAAGTAGGAAAAACAACCCCTAATTTAGGTCTTTTTTTTTTTTTGGGTCCGGTCATGGGGCCTGAACTCTGGGCCTGGGCGCTGTCCCTCAGCTCTTCAGCTCAAAGCTAGCGCTCTACCACTTGAGCCACAGCGCCACTTCTGGCTTTTTTCTTTTTGCTTATGTGGTGCTGAGGAATCGAACCCAGGGCCTCAGGCATGCAAGGCAAGCGCTCTACCACTGAGCCACCTTCCCAGCCCCTAATTTAGGTCTTTTGCATATTGGTTTTATCCTCCTCGATAACTGGTAATGCTCAAAGTGAGGTCCCTCTGCGGGGGTGCTGTAGCTTTTGCTGGAAGAAAGAGGGGTGTGGATCCACTGTTGACAGTCTCCTGTTATTTCTAGGCCGACTGGCAGGCAGGTAGCAGCTGGGGCCTGGTATGCGTTTCCTTGGAAGTGTGGCTTCTGGTCCCAGCTCTACCCACAGATCACCTGCACCCGATCTCACCCCGCGGCTTAGGTTTCCTTCTCTGAGAATCAGAACTGCCCCCAAAGCGTCATTTCCTTAGGGCTGGGTTTGGTTTTGATTCACTGTACTAGAGCTTGAGCCCAGGGCCACTTGCTCGAAAGGCAGGTACAGTCCCGGTTGAGCTCTACTCCTAGCCCCACCCATAGACTCCTGCCATTCTGTCTTTCTGTCTGGCTGGATCAGGTAACCACTGACTTCCAAAGCCAGTTTTAAGCAGCCCAGTGCGGGCCTCTGCTTCCTCCTGCCCGTGACAGCGCAGTTTTGGTTCCTACACTTTAGGGACAGATGAAAACTCGCCTCTGTGGTAAGCATATAAGACAGAGGGGCCTTGGAGACCCTGCCCAGCCTGGGGTGGGGGTGGGGGGCATGCCTTCCTCCCCCCTCCTTGGGGCTTCATCTGTGCATAAGCCTGTAAGAGCCTTTTCAGGGAACCCTCTCTCCAGCCTCTCCCCCAAATATAGCATCTGGACATGTAGCCATGCAGCTGTATTTATTATTTACAGGTACAGTGGATGGGATTGGAAAAAAAAAAAAAAAAGCCACGTATCTTATTTCCCATCACTCCCGGTCTCCAGACTCGAGGTGGCAGCTAGTAGATCCTTGGGTAAAAATGAACAAAACCTGGCCAAATTAAACAAATATTTCATAACTGTCCTTCAGTACAGTTTTCATCTTCTCCTGCCACATTTTACCTGTTTTAACAAGGTCAGTTGATTTAGAGGAGTAAGCTCACTTGAGTTGTTTTCTTTTCTCCCTGAAGTCCTGAATAAGAGAATTGGGCATACAGTCCAGAGCTCACAGCCAATGGCTGACATAGCTTTGGACATTTACTCTTTGGTCAGGCTACATGCAGAGTGCTTCACACATCAGGTCTAGAAGACGAACGCTGCTGTCATCTGCTCTAATGAAGAAGATGAGGCTCAAGGAAGCTGGGTGGTTGGCCAGGTAGCCATGGGATTTGAGCTCAGGCAGGCTGACGGCAGAGCCCCAGCTCTGGTTTTAGAGCGTAGCAAGCTGGAGAAGAAAAGGATCTGGGCATCATCCAGCCTCATTTGGAGATGGATCCAAATGATCAGGCCTGACTGGGCTCTCTCTCACTTGACCTGGGTCCTGCTCTACCCCTCCCCTCAGACCTCCTGAACAACCATATTCTGAAGTCCGCCATGTGTGCCGAAGCCATTGTAGCGGGGCTGTCCATGGAGACCCTGGAGGGCACCACCCTGGAAGTGGGCTGCAGCGGAGACAGGCTGACCATCAACGGGAAGGACATCATCTCCAACAAAGACATCCTGGCCACCAATGGCGTGATCCACTTCATCGATGAGCTGCTCATCCCAGATTCAGGTAAAGCCAGGCCTTAAGGCCCGGCCTCCCATCCCTTCTGCCATCCCTTGGTGACCAGGTTGTAGGGGGGATAGAGGAAGCGGGGGACTCACGGATTCATTCAGGGGATTTCCCTGCCTGGACCCACTTTACAACCCCCAGCCAGAAAACTCCTGGAGGGCATATGGCAGATTGAGGAGATACTTGAGGAAGCCCCGTGAGTCACTGAAGGTCCCCAGAGCCCTTTTAGATCTGCCTTTGGTAGCTGAGCACAAAGCTTGTTTCCTGACCCAAGAGCATTCCTTCCCGCCATAGTGTCCAAACCATCCCAGTCACTGACCCAGAGAGGTCGACTGGATGGACTTTGACTCAGCTTCCATATGACCCAGGAGAGAAGGGATCTCACAGGGAAAAGCAACACTCTTCGGCTGGGAGCGGTCACTGGCCTTGAAGGCTTCTCAGTCACCCCACAAGCAATGCGGCCTTGCCTGGAGCCACCCCGGCCTCTTCCGGGATGGCTCTGCCCGCAGCCAGCCCTGCGCTCCCCTCATTTCTCCAGTGGCTAGGCTGACACAAACCCCGCTGGGTCCCTGCAGTGGTTAGAGGGTTTGTTGACTCACAAGATGTTGCTCCTGCTGCCGAGTTCCATGCCACGGGGTGCGCAGATGATGAGCGCAAACAACACTGTTCGCTTTTGAACTCCTTCGGCAGCCAAGACCCTGTTTGAGTTGGCAGCAGAATCAGACGTGTCCACAACCGTTGACCTTCTCAGGCAAGCTGGCCTGAGCACGCATCTCTCTGGAAATGAGCGGTTGACCCTTCTGGCCCCGTTGAATTCTGTATTCAAAGGTAATGTGGGGAAAGCACCCTACTGATTCATTACCTCCACCCTCCACACCCCCCCCCCCATCAGCCACCTCTGTGAAACTCTTCTGCTCTGCCATAGACCATGGATGGCAGGCTTTTCAACTAACTCAGCTAGATGTGACCCCGGCAGAAACTTCAGACTTAATCTTTGTTTGGTTTTGCAAGAGCCAAGAATGCATTGGAGGAATCTCTGCCTAGGAATGCAAGGCTTTGCATCTGCCAGGAGAGCTGAGCATCCTTTGCTCTTTCTGTTTGCAAGGTCAAGTCTCAATATGCAGTCTGGGAAGACCCGCTAGGCCGCAGCTACGGGCAAGGAAGGGAAGGAGCCAAATTGTATGCATGCCTTTCCTCTTACGGTGAAACTCCAAGGGCCCTACACCTATGCTGTTTTGTTTTGTTTTGTTTTCTGCAGAAGATGTGAGATGTTCAGAAATATTAGCATTCCAACTCACTTTCTCAGTCTCCATTTCCAAACTCAAGGAAGGACAGCTTTTCACCATCTTTGTCCCTCATCATTCTCTCTACCCGGGAAGCCAATCACTCTGGCCCTTAACTACCTCTTGTCTTACAGATGGAGCCCCTAGCATTGATGCCCACATGAAGAATTTGCTTCTGAACCACATAGTAAAAGACCAACTGGCCTCCAAATACTTATACCATGGACAGACTCTGGACACATTGGGTGGCAAGAAATTGAGAGTGTTTGTTTATCGTAATGTGAGTGCTGCATCTTCAGTCATGCTCTTTCTTTGGTTCAACTCTTAAGAAGTAGACGTTGGCTTTTTGTTGTTTTGTTTTGCTTTGCTTTGGTCGGCCATGGGGCTTGAACTCAGGGCCTGGGTGCTATCTCTCAGCGCACTTTACCACTTTGAGCCACAGTGCCACTTACGGTTTTCTGGTGGTTCATTGGAGATAAGAATCTCACTGGCTTTCCTGCCCAGGATGGCTTCGAATGCTGATCCTCAGATTTCAGCCTTCTGAGCAGCTAGGATGACAGGTGTGAGCCGCTGGTGCCTAGCTTTAGAAGTTTTATTAATAAAAAAAAGTTTTAAATAATATAATAAAAAAATTTTAAAGTCCTTCTTAATCAAGGACTTACATAATCTAATGAAGAAGTAATTTCTTACTAAATGAGATTTTGCAGAAGGGTTAGGGAATATCCTTTTGTGGGTATCCTTAGTATAAACCCCACTCATGTCTGCATAGTTAGGAAGTAAGTCTGGAGGAGGGATGGAGGTTTTCTGTCCTTCTAGCCCCCTGACAGAATTACAGCCCCCTCTTTATTCCAAAAAGATTACCTTTCCTTTTCTCCCAATCTACCTTGTGATATCTACCAGGAAGCTCAACGCAACCTTGTTCAGGCCTGAGATCAACCAACTCCATTTAGTTTTTCATCTATTCTGCCGGGGAAAAAAAATCAATGGCTTCGGTCATTGATCGTTATCAATAGACTTCCTCAATATGGGTCTTAATTGGATTCTCCTTTCCTTGAGGAAAGGTTTAAAATGGTTTTCTGTCCTGAGAATAATACATCATGGTGGCCCGGGCTTCATGATGTACTGTAATACACACACTCACCAGTCTTGGGAGCGATGTCATCAACACAGCCCTGAACCAACCTCTCTCTGTCTCTCTTCCGTGCAGAGCCTATGCATCGAGAACAGCTGCATTGCCGCCCACGACAAGAGGGGGCGCTATGGGACCTTGTTCACCATAGACCGCATGCTGACCCCTCCCATGGGGACGGTCATGGACGTCCTGAAGGGGGACAATCGCTTTAGGTAACCAATCTCTCTCCCAGGGTGGGGCTTCTGCCAAGTAGAGAAGTCTGTGGACTGTGTGTCAAGATTCCTGCCTGCTTTGGAAGATCAAGGCCAGCCTAGACTACAGAGTTGACCCTGTGCTGAGGGTTTTCCTAATGCTAATGATGTTTCCAGGCTTGGGACAGGGAGAAAATGAAGGTCACCTTGAAACCTTGGGCTGGGAAGCAGGCTTCCTCCTGGGAGTGTCATCTTCCTGTAATGGGACACAAGGGAAGAGAGAATAAAGGGGGAGAGGGCATTTTTATTATGACGGCCCAAGAAAACATTACTCTTTCGCTAGAAAATCCCCAATTTGCTGGGAGCAGGTGGCTTTGAAACCTGGGGTGAGTCTCCCAGTCTCTGTGCAGAATCTACTCCTACGGAACTGTGGCTCCGGTGTTAGTTCGCCTTCCCATCCTGTTCTTTCTGTTCCCGACTCTCTTGCTCGCCTCCCGTGGATGCTGTCATGTGGAGTGACTTCAGCCGCCTGCCGGCATGTCCTCCCCAGAACTCAATCCCGGAGCCAGCCAGTCTCTTGAGTTGGCCGTAGCTCTGACATTTCTTCCTCCCACTACCTCTGGGCTCTGACTTCGGGCCACTCATCTTGAGTGTGATGTGTATATAACCTGGGTAGGGTGGAGATGACAGGTGGACTGATTCCCTCCTTTGCCTGGGAGGGAGCTGAAGAAGAAGGAGGGGGGGGGGCGGGGAGTGTGCCTTCTCCCAGCAGGTGACATTTCTTCTCCTGTGTGTTCACAGCATGTTGGTGGCTGCCATTCAATCTGCAGGCTTGACCGAGACCCTCAACCGGGAAGGGGTGTACACAGTCTTTGCTCCAACCAACGAAGCCTTCCAAGCCATGCCGCCGGAAGACCTGAACAAACTCTTGGGTAAAAAAAAAAAAAATGCTTTAAGTAACACATTCCTATTTTTTTCCTTTTTTCCAAAGTCATCTACCCAAAGGGGTTAACTGGAGGAATTTAATGATGAGATCATTTGTAGAAGGGTGGGAATGACTTAAGGGACTGGCAGAGAGCTAAGAAGACATCCCGGGGGCTGACAGCAGTGGAAAGAAGGGGCGGCAGGAGTGAGGGCAAGAACCAGGCAGAACTTGGACAAAGGGCTCAGAAAGTTACCAGAGCCTTTTATATCCTGTGAGGGCTGCTGAGCACCTCAGCAATCAGCCAATGGGAAGCCCAGCCTCCCTTAGGCCAATGCCTGGGCCTGGGCCTGGGTCTCCTCCCATTGGCCGATTCCAGGAGGGCAGAGAGACCTAGATGTTGCAATTCGTAGAGGTCAGGGTCCCAAGTAGATGAAAAACCACCAGCCTGGTCACTGAGGCCTGCCTTCCCCCTTGGGGAGCAGGAAAAATGCTTACCTGCATGAAATGTCCCTCGGGAGCAAATCCAAGTTCCCAAGAACTTTTAGTCATGGGCCTGGGAAAATGTGTGCTCACATGCTTGGGTACCTGCTTTCCCTGGAAGCAGTTCGAACCCTGGCTCTGGCATTTACCAGGTGAGTGAGCCCTGGCAAATGGCTAAACCTTCCAGGAACTCCGATAGCTCCTCCCTTGCTCCTCAGGAGGCTGAGATCTGAGGATCCCCGTTTCAAAGCCAGCCTAGGGAAGAAAGCCCATGATTGGCTTACGTCCAGTTAGCCACCAAAAGAAGCCAGAAGTGGAGGGTGTGACTCAAGTAGTAGAGTACTAGCCTGGAGTGAAAAGCTAAGGGACGGCGCCTAGGCCCAGGGTTCAAGCCCCATGACCCACAAAATAATAATAATAATAATTATTATTATTATTATATATATAATGGCATTGAGATGGGCTGGGGGCTGAGGGCAGTGGGTGACAAAGATGCATTTCCACAAGAGACACTTCCCCTCTCCTGGCAAAAGATGAGTCTGAGGAAGGTAAAAAGGACCAAGAAAGGACCTTAGCCAAACCTGGGGATACATATTGTTTATACCTCCCTTCTTTTAGGAGAATAGAAGGCTCAGGTTGCTGCCAGTTCTGAGCTGAATTTGTGTCCTGTTTAAATTTGCTTTATTATTCATTGAATGCCGGTGTCTGTGACGCTGACGTCTTTTTCCGGAGAAGAGGGGGGGAAATTCACTCTGAAAACAAACTTTCCATCCCCTCTTGGCCCTGCAGGAATGAACTATTCTTCCCCAGGTGGCCCGAGCCTGCTCAGATTCCTCTCGTTTTCAGTTGTGTGGGAGTGGAAGAGGGGGAGGGAGAAAGTGTCTCAAACACCAGGCCTCACCCCAAGTCAGACTTCTAGAAAGAAGGATGCCCCCCCGCCTCCCCAGCCAGCATCCCCGGGGCTACCTTGTCTTCTCCATATCCAGGCAGTACTTTTGTGTGTGGGAGGGGAACCTCGCCATTTGTGGATGTTTGGAAATCGCTTGGTACCCCTGACTCTGTCCCCTGGCACTGGAATGAGTTCATCAGTAATCAAGTGAACTCCGGAGAAAGTTTTCAGACATCCAGGAAGGAGCCCTGGGGAAATGAACCACCACCACCGTTGGCTAGGAGACGGGCCGATCAGGGAGGATCAGAGAGGGGCAGTTGGCAGCATTAGGCCCCGCTTCCCACGCCAAACTCGGGAAAGGCCTGTGTGTACCTTTATGAGCAATCGGATGCTTTCCCCAGCCGTAGGGGGGAAACTGATGTGAGCTGGAAAGAATGCCGTGAAGTTCAGCACTGAGCAGAGGTACCAGGGAGGGAATTCCCTCCCCCCCAACCTCAGCCCTGACCTCATCGGCTCTGTGGCTCCTCTGGAGCACAGCTGTTGCCTCTTCCAAATCCCCCTTCAGGAAATGGCCCTCTCCGGTGGAAGATGCATCGGAGGGCAGAATGTGTAAATATTTCACGACTGTGTTATGACCAACAGGACCCAGCCACGCCGATGATGAAGCATCCCAGATGGCGTGGCTGGAAAGGTCCCTGGCGTTTCCCTGGCAAATATTTAGCTCATGGAAACACAAGTCCTGCTCACAGAGGAATATGGATTAACTCCTCAGCGGCCGGGAAACTCTGCTTAACTCAGCCACGCAGGGCCAATCCTGGGCTCCAGTCATGCGCCTTGTGTCTGCCGACCTGTAGGCAGATGGTGGTCGGCTCAGGGCTGAGTACACAGTAGGTGCTCACTGAGCGCTTGGACTTAAGCGCATGGACTTTTCCACCTTTGAGTCAGCCACTTTGTACTTTCTCCCCTGGGCCCTCTGCCTTGCCAGTGAGCCATCTCGAGATTCAGTCTGCCTCTCCTTCCCCCGACCCTGCAGGGAACGCTAAGGAACTTGCCAACCTCCTGAAATACCACGTCGGCGATGAAATCCTGGTGAGCGGGGGCATCGGGGCCCTGGTGAGGCTGAAGTCTCTCCAAGGAGACAAGCTGGAAGTCAGCTCGGTGAGTGTGCCGGCAGAGCCAAACATCTGGTTACGGACCACCACGGGGCCTGGCGTGGGACATACCACCTTTGAGATACATCCTGACTGCAAGAGGGCAGCTTGTCCCCAGAAAGAAGGGAAAGAAAAAGAAAGGGGGGGGAGCTCTTCAGGAAAATCAAGCCAGATTGCAACTAGATGCAAGAACTTCCAGAGTTGCAAGGGCATAAAGCATCAGACTTGGCATGTGGGAGAGGCCCATTAGGAGAGGGCAGGCAGTGAATGGCATATGTGTCTCCCTCTTGAGCGATCAGCCCCCCCCGAGCCAATCTCCGCTCCAGTCCCCCACATGCAGGGGCTCAATGAGGTGCTGCCTTGAGCCAGACCATCCTCAGAGGTGCCCTGGGCTCTCATTCCCGCTCTGCGAGCTTACCTCGCTCTGCAAGTGGCTGATGCCATTCTACCTTGGCATGGTGCCCAGCACATCCCCACCTCAAAAGAGAGAGCCAGAGAGAGAGAGAGAGAGAGAGAGAGAGAGAGAGAGAGAGAGAGAACCAGCCCAGTTCTGAGAAGCTCCCTCAGAGGAGGCCACTGGTCTCCCTGGGGATGGACACTCACGGATATAGCTGGTTGGAGACCCCTGCTCCTCTCTCCTGATTTCGAGCCTCCCTGGATCCCTCTTTTTTTTTTTTTCTTGGGAGCCTGGGTAAAACCTGTTGGGATGGAGGGAGGGAGGCCTGGGGAGAGATTTATCTTCTGATGATCTCCTCGTCGCACCTCGTGTCAGATGTTGGGGTCCTACCTGTCTCCGACACACAAATAGTTTAGCAAGGCTTGCGTTCGATTCTCCTAGGGAGACCTCCCCTCAGGGACTCCTAAGCCAGGCATCTTGGAAAAGTAGAAAGAGCCTTTTGTGCAGATCTGAAAGCTCAGCTTCTAGTCCCAGCTTAAAAGGTGGGGGGCACACTGTGCCCCTCAGATCTCTGTCTCCACTTCTGATCAGAGACAACAATACTCACCCTCCTTTGCTCTACACTCCATGGGGATCAGCACCTTACAAGGGAAGGAAGGTCTGCAGAGGACAGAGACTATGTCTCTCCCCAGACCATAATCCCCAGGACCTGGGAACTGAGTCTGTCCTCAGCAGTTACATGGATAAAATAAGTCTGTTGTGCATTTCCTAATCATCATCTCTGTTTCTCCCAGAGGAACAATGTCGTGCATGTCAATAAAGAGCCAGTTGCTGAAATCGACATCATGGCCACAAATGGCGTGGTCTACGCCATCAACAGCATTCTGCAACCTCCAGGTGAGACCCCCCCCACACACAAATTATGTCATCCCCGAGACTTGGAATCTGGGCCTTCTCTTCATGTGGTAGCCTGTGCTTAGTAGAAAAACTGTCCTACGCAAAGGTCAGGATAAGGTGAAACCATGACCCTCCCACAGTGCAGCTGATGGAAATGTGAATTGGTGTCTTCAAAGAGTACACCCTCGGTGTTGGTGGCTCACACCTGTCATCCTAGCTACTCAGGAGGAGGCTGAGATCTGAGGATTACGGTTCAAAACCAGCCCAGACTGGAAAGTCTGTGAGACTTTATCTCCAATGAATGGCCAAAAAGTCAGAAGTAAAGCTGTGGCTTAAGTAATCCAGCTCTAGCCTTGAGCACCAAAGCTCAAGGACAGCACCCAGGCCTTGAGTTCAAGCTCTAGGCCTGGCATGAAAGGAAGGAAGGGAGGGAAGGAGGCAGAGAAGAGGGAGAGAAGGAGGGTAGGAGAGAGAGAGAGAAGAGAGAGAAAGGGAGAGAGGAAGGAAGGAAGAAGGAAAGAAGGTAGGAAAGGAAGGAAGAAAGGAGGGAGGGAGGAAGGGAGGGAGGGAGGAAGGCAGGAAGGAAGGAAGGAAGGCAGGCAGGCAGGCAGGCAAGGCATGGCTGGTCTTGTTGAATGGTCCAAATGATCCACTGTCCCCGCCCCACCCCACCGGGCCCAGTGGGGTGCTTGTGCTTATATCTCGCATGCTGGTCTCAGACACGGTTCCTGTGCCTACAGATGTTGTCCACAGAGCTCCCAGCTCTTCTCTCCTGGTCCCTCTTTACCCCTCAGGGGGGAACAGTTGACCCTCAGTGCCACCTCTCCTCACTTGCCCATTCACCCCCTCTCCCAGCCAAATCCCTCCATGAGTAACGTTATACAGGGGAAAGAAAGGCTTCACTGGGAAATGGGAGCCAGGAATCCCAGACGTGCCCAGTAGGAATGGCACGCTGAAGGTTCCGCTCTCACCAAAGTGGCCTTTTCCATCCTCTCCAGCCAACCGGCCTCAGGAGCGAGGGGACGAGCTGGCCGACTCTGCCCTCGAAATCTTCAAGCAGGCATCAGCGTTCTCCAGGGTAAGCTGCCTGCTAGGGTTGGGCCCAGATGGAGCCAGCCTTGGGGCTTCTGCTTGGGCCCCAGCATTGGTTTGTTTGAATGTGTTCTTAGCAAGCATGAGAGTGCGCAAATCCGCTCCAGAAACCTGGAGTGAGTTTTCACTAGAAAACCTGACCTGCCGGGCACCGGTAGGTCACGCCTGTAATCCTAGCTACTCAGGAGGCTGAGATCTGAGGATCGCGGTTCAAAGCCTGCCCGGGCAGGAACATCCGTGAGACTCTTATCTCCAATAAACCACCAGAAAACTGGAAGTGGGGTTGTGGCTCAAGCGGTAGAGCGCTCGCCTTGAGCTGAAGAGCGCAGGGACAGCACCCAGGCCCAGAGTTCAAGACCCATGACTGACCAAAAAAAAAAAAAGAAGAAGAAAAGAAAAGAAAGCCTGACCCCTTATGTTTTATTCCAGGCTGCCCAGAGGTCTGTGCGGCTAGGTGAGTCTCATCGGCATTTTGGATTTCTGTAGTAGTCCCTTTGGGGCCCTATCCCTGGCAGACCCAATAACTGTATATAGATAGATAAGAGCATCACGATCTGGCAGAACAAGCGTGGTTTTCAGGCATCAGGCCAGCAAGGGGAGGGAGGGTCAGATGCAGAAAAATACAGCTTCTTTCTCAGTCAGGGGAAGATAATAAAAAAACACGGCCTTTTCAGGGGTTGATGTGAGTTTTGGCTTGGGGAACTGTGGGAATATTGCACAGTACTTGGCAGGAGCCCACAATACAGATGTGGTTCCAAGCTGATAGATGTAGAAAATACACCTGATCCTCAGACAAGTTAAACGCGGAAGTTCCACGGGCCACACCGTACCTGGTGAGCACAGGAGGACCTGGCGGAAGGCACTAGGCTCTTGTCCTCGGGATGACATCTCGACATCAGGTGACATGGGTACGCTTTCACTCGGGCTCCTCCCTCTTTTCAGCCCCTGTCTATCAGAGATTACTGGAGAGGATGAAGCATTAGCACAAAGGATCACAGGAGGAAGGCCCGAAGCCGCTTCCTACCACTTCTCTCAGTTTGCCAAAGAGACCATGTGAATGTTCTGGAAACCAAAGATCACACTTCAACAGACATGGGCCACACCACAATCAGATCTGAGCCTTGGATGGGGAAGAGGGAAACAAGAGAAAGATGTCTCCCCATCTCTTTTTATATCATTTATTTTTCCATTCCTCCCCCCACTCCCCACCGCCCCTGTCCCAGACATGGTTGTTAATGCCCAATTGCATGAAAAGATCTGGGATACCATGACCCGACACTCACTTGTAGAAAAGAACCCATATGTGGAATTTCCTGCCCATGTCCAGTGCCTGGAAAAAAAAAATAGAATGGAAGTTAACGGTATGGTGGATCTCATAAAACGCAAGTCAAGCAATCCAGCATTCCGGGAAATCCTGGCCTGCTCTGTAGAGCTCTGGCACAGCTGGAGAAATGGCATTATTATAAGCTATGAATCGAACTGTTTTCTGTCCAATGTGTCTTCCATCCCCACACGTGGCTTGGGCGCTTCTATGTGGCCCTGTCCAGGTAGAAAAGAAAGAAAAAGAATCACGGAGCCCCAGACTTCCTGAGTGTGACGGAGCCATGGTGTGTTTGTGATAATAAAAATGAAAGAAATGGATGCCTGTGTGGACAGCTGTGTGCCAGCCTGGGGATCAGAGGTAGAGCCTGCTCTGGGGGGGGAGAGGGGAAGAGGGGCTGCCAGTCTACCTTTTAGCCCTCAAGCCCCCCCCCCCAGTAGCACCTCTGAGGTAACAGAGGACCCTCAGATGCTCACTCAGCTAGTGGGAATCTCCATCTGTCTTTGATGAACATTTTGTCATCTGAGCCCTGGAGTCCTGAGTCCTCCCTGTTCACGTGGCCCTGTGACCCCTCATCACACTCGAAATCATCTTCCTTCCAGTGTTTTGACCCCTCTGTCTTTGTGGTGCATAGCACCTGTGCAGTGGGATTTTTTTTAAATAACAGAGCCCCATCACACAGATGGGGAGATTGAGGTCCGGGAAAGGGAGAACCACTGGGAACAGAGGAAAAAAAAAAAAAAAAGCTGGGCTTCAGGCTCCAATCCAAGTCTCCTGACTCCTAAAAGATGACCATTTGCCAAGAGACAAGTCTAGGCTTTGCAAGTTCTGTGCCAACCTATGTTCACGTTCCTTTCCCAGCATCCTGAATCTCTGTTGTCTAGACAGTATCCCCATCATCCTGAAAGGGGGTGCTGTATATCTGGGGGGGGAGGGACTGGTCTTTGCTCTCTCCCTGTGTGGTTTTTGGTAGCCATTCCACCCCTGAGGCCTTCTCTATAACAGAGAGATGACTGTCGACCTCCACTTCCTAGATCCATCATGCAGATGATGTGGGATAGCCTACGCAGAGTTCTGGGCATAGCACTGGGTTTATTGGCTACGCAGGACCTTCATGGCCATATCTTCATTTGTGTCCTAAAGACAGCCTGTGTTCCTGGACCAGGCAGGCAGAGTCCACACCCTGGGCCCAGTGAGCTTTTCCCTCCTAGCCAAAGAGGATCCCTTTTTAGGTCTTGGATAGCTCATTGGTTCCCACTCCCCTCCCCCACACACACTCCATTTCTCCAGGAATGCAGGCTAAACAGATGCCACCTCCAGGACCAAATGGGGGTGACTGGAAGACAATTGCTTGCCGTCCTATACCCCATCAAGGCCACAGGGCATCCCAAATGAGAAGGAGGTTGCCAGGCCTCTCCTGAGTCTTGCTGCGGAGACTGGATCAAGGGAGAGGAGGGAGAGGATAGAGGTCTCCTTCCCCTGTGCACCCCGCTTTGCTGTTCCTGGGCCTATGGGCTTCCTGGGATGTAGAGAAGCCTGCAGACCTGATCTGCATTGAGGTTCAGTGGTCTTCCTCTCAACCTAGACTCACCTAGACCTGGAGGGTCAGAGAGGGCCCACCGCGTTGGACTGTTTTACATCTACCTGTGTGGGCCCTGCTAGTCCTCCGTTGGGATGCCACGTATGAACTGGGGAGATGCCAGGCAAATTTCCATTTTCACTGCCGCAGAATTGGAAGCTGTGAGGATTGAGGGCGGCTGCCATGCTGCAGATCAGGAAGAATGGAAACACAGCTCCAGCCCACGTGACTCTAGAGTCTGAACTCAGAAGCAATCTCCTCCCTCTCTACTGAGGATCCACTGAAAAACCTTGGGCGAGCAGATCCTGGAGATCTTGGTGGCCAGAGCCTTCCCCCTCCTTCCCTCCCCTCCTCATGAAAGACCTCAGCAGGCCTGATCTTTACCTGCTAGCACCCTAGTCCCTTCTTGCTACCATGTCTGGCAGGGATGGAGATGGAGAAGCAACCGCAGCACCACACAGAAATGCCCTAGAAGAGAGAGGGGAAACACCGCTATGCTGGGAAACCATCGTCCAACATGATGCTTTTGAGATGCTGCCTGGAATATTGTGCTCAGAGCTGTTTCTGAGCCAGGAAATGAGGGCTGGGCCTCAGGCCCTGTCTAGAGAAGTCAAATACGGCCACTTCTGACCATCTCTGCTTGACGAGGAAAAAAACACCAGAAAGCCGATCAGAGATTAATTACATCAGGAACCTACATATGCAGGCTCACGCATTCACGCCACCCCCTGTGACCCTAAGAGATTCAACACAGAGCCTCAGGCATAGACAACTCATACTCCACACACTCTCCTGGGGCCCAGGGAGGGAAGAAGCCACTGGGGTACATAGGCACCATGGAACTTTCCAGTTCTGGCCTCAGGCTGGCTAGAGGGAAGCTCCCAGAACCATCCACACCCTAGTTCAGCCTGAAATCCCGGCCATTTTTTTTTTTAACCTCCCTTGCTCAGATGTGAGCTGCTCAGGGGGCCAATCACAGAGCCTGACACCCAAGTACATCACCCAAGGTCAGCAAACCAATGAGCTCTCCGGGCTCAGGTTCCTCTTGCTCCTTAAAAAAGAAAAGGAGAAAAAGAAAAAGAGGTCAGGCACCGGTGGCTCACGCCTGTCATCCTAACTACTCAGAAGGCTGAGATCTGAGGATCACAGTTCAAGGCCCACCTGGGCAGGAAAGTTGGTGAGACTCTTCATCTCCAATGAACCACCAGAAAACCAGAAGTGGTGCTGTGGCTCGAGTGGTAGAGCGCTCGCCTTGAGCTGAAGAGCTGAGGGACAGCGCCCAGGCCCAGAGTTCAAGCCCCACGACCAAAGGAAAAGGAGTCCTTCCTAGACCCTTGGGGTTCCCCTTTAGAAGGAGGGGAATATCGGGGTACTGGAGACAATCTAAAGACTGCTTGGCCACATGGCAGAAAGGATAGCACTTTCTCTCTACTTGCCAGCTCTTTAAGGGATAAATTATGCTGAGAGTTTTGGTGGTGGTGTTTTTTGTTCCCCCTCCTTTGTTCCTAGGATCCCCTTCTCCTTGATTCTATTAGAAGGGTGTGAGGTTTGGGAATTGCGAAGACAGAGGGGAAAGACTACTGATGAAATGTCCTCACTCCGGCAGAAATGAGTTTTGGAGAGAACAGATGGAAACCTATACTCTCCTCCCTGTCGATGGGGCCCGTGGGTCCCCGTGGTTTCTGGATGAGCAGACAAATAATTCAAATTCAAGGAAGCCGTGTGCCACGGGGATTTTTTTTTCCTTGATGACAGCTCTCATCCTGGTTTCTGGGATTGGAGGGTGAGGCTCAAAGCCTGCCTTGGGGGGAAAGGGGAGGGAGGGTCTGTATCCAGACTAAGTCACTCCCCTGGGCGGTGAGGGGAACAAGAAGAGGATGAGGATCAGTACCCTTGGGTACTCAGTTGCTCCATCATGCAGGGGTAGCTCCTCCGGATATGCCAGGGAGACAAAGAAGAACCACCGTGATGTTAGCCTTGAACCTCAGGCCTGCTCTGAAAGGAAGCAGCTGCGTTCCTTTCAAACTGTATTCAGATACCACATGGCTAACCTGGAGCTGCTGTGAACATACCCTCCCCGCGCTGAGTCCCTTGTCTAAATGCATTTGTGTGTGTGTGCTCATAGAGGTCAGTCCTGGGGCTTGAACTCAGGGCCTGGGTGCTGCCCCTGAGCTTTTCCACTCAAGTCCGGCACTCTGCCATTTTGAGCCACACCTCCACTTCCCAGCGTGTGGATGCGAAGAGTCGCAGAGGTGTTCCTGCCCTTGCTGGCTTTGAACTGCTATCCCCAGAGCTCAGACTTCTGAGTAGCTAGGATTACAGGTGTGAGCCATGGGCACCCAACTAACATGCATTTTGTATTGACTTGAATTCTGTTTCCCTAGCACAGGCAGCAAATCCTTTGGGCTTAGACCCACTCCCCTTTTTTTTTGCCTTCAGACGGGGATATAGAGGCTGATCCTCAATAGTATAGTGGCTGCAGGGACCAGCAAGAGAGGAGGGACAGGTGTGAGGTGGAAAGGTCTTCAGACGGAGCTCAGGATGTATCCAGCTCCATCAGACAAGACTGCAAGGAACCTCACATAATCAGCCCCACGGGAGACCTAGAGATCACAACATAGGCCTTCATTCACCGTGCAGAACTGCCGAACCCTGTGGTCCACTGGAAAGGCAGGGGAGCAGGGGAGATCCTGACCACCCACGAGAAAAGCTCTGGGCACTTTGGAAGCCAGGGATGATTTGGTTTGTGGATTAGCATCCCTACTGGAGAGAAGTCAGCCAGTAGGAAATACTTCTCAATGAACTGTATCAAGAACCTCCTTTTGGTGAACATCATATATGGAGCTTGTACCAGTGAACCACGAAGGATAAAAGCCATTACTGGGTCACCAGTGGCGTGGGCCTATCATCCTAGCTACTCAGGAGGCTGAGATCTGAGGATCATGGTTCAAAGCCAGTCAGGACAGGAAAGTCTGTGAGACTCTGATCTCCAATGAACCATCAAAAAGCTGAAATTGGAGCTGTTGCTCAAGTGTAAGCCTTGAGTAAAAAAAAAAAAAAAAAGCTCAGGGACAGTGCCCAGGCCCTGAGTTCAAGCCTCACAACCGGCACAAATAAATACATAAATAAACAAATTCCCCTTTTTGTACCTTTCTAAATAAATTTTTACAATTTGAATTCTGTTTCCTAATTTGCCTAGCCTTTGTTTTGGAACTTTTTATTCTCATGTGAATTCGATTTACATGAAGAAGGGAACTCAGAGTCCAAATAGGTTAATTTCACCTCCAAATTGTTGTTCTATCATCTGAAATTCACCAATTACTTCCTATCCTCCGCCACATTCTGTTTTCCTAGTCATATCCTCTTGTCTCTGGACTGCATTTTCTGTCTTTTTTGATCTATGTAGCTGTGCTTTTATCTGTAGCACACCTCTTAAATTGGTGTTAATTTAGTATCTTCTAATATCCACAGATGTTAGCTCTTTTCACCTTTTGAAGATAACTATTTTCCTTTTATAAATGTATGCTTTCTCCTTGCAAAAGTTTCAGAAGGTATATATATATATATATATATATATAT